ACCCGTGGCCTTGGTGTTATCAGCACCGCACTCTACCGAGTGAGCCACGGGCCGGCCCCACGAACATAGTTTTATATCACCGAATTTAGGAGGTAGAATGGGAGGAAGGGGCATAATCACTACACCCAAATCCTGGACCCCTTTCAAGGCTCTACTACATTTAAAGGTGGGAACTGAGCTGAGTGTTAGGGAATCGGAGCAGAAGATGGGATGGTGCTCTAGGCAGGTGCCATGACATGGGCAAAGGCCAGGAAATAGGAACTAGCCTGAGACAGTCGGAAGAGCATGGCTGCCTTTGGTGAAGAGGCTTTAGGGGCAGGTTTAGCTGGAAAGGTGGGCACAGTCCTTGCAGCTGTGCCATCCAGTGGTTACTTAAATTTAAATTCATTAAAATGAAATGAAAATTTTACTTCCTCAGTCACACTGGCCACACATTTGAAGTGTTTAGTGTCTACTGTATCGGACAACACAAATAGAGAACATTTTCATCACTGTAGAAAGTTCTTTTGGACAGGGCTGTGCTAAAGGGTTGTGAATGCCAGGCCAAGGAGCTTGGACTTTATCCTGGGGAAGGGGAGATCAGGAAGGGAGTTGAGGGCCGGCCTGTGGCTCACTCGGGAGAGTGCGATGCTGATAACACCAAGGCCCCGGGTTCGGATCCCACATAGGGATGGCCGGTTCGCTCACTGGCTGAGCGTGGTGCTGACAACACCAAGTCAAGGGTTAAGATCCCCTTACCGGTCAATTTTTAAAAAAAAAAAAAAAAAAAAAAAAAAGGAAGGGAGTTGAGCAGGACAGAAGCCAGCGTCAGAGTTAGGTTTGAGATCTAACCCTTTGGGTAACCTTTTCTTGGACATTCCAAATCCTTTTTCAACTCATCCTTCACCAACTAACCAAGGCCTACCAATCTTACTTGTTTCCCTTTGTTATTCACCTGTAAGATGAAGGTGGTATTAGACTCTCCATTCACTCATTGATTTGTTCATTCACACTTGTACTGATCACTCACTGTATTAGTTTCCTACTGCTGCTGCAACAAATTACCACAAACTTAGTGGCTTAAAACAACATATATTTATTACCTTACAGGTTTGGAGGTCTGAAGTCCGAAATGGATATTACTGGGCTAAAAATCAAGGTGTAGGCAGGGCTCCTTCTGGAGGCTGTAGGGGAGACCCTGCTTTCTTGTCTTCTCCAGCTTACAGATGCCACCCACATTCCTTTCCCCTTCCATATTCAAAGCCAGAAATGGCCAGTTGAGTCTTTCTCACATCACATCACTCTGACACCTACTCTTCTGTTTGATACTGATTCTTCCACATTTAAAGACCCTTGAGATTACACTGAGCCTACCCAGATCATCTGGGATAATGTTTGTGTTTTAAGGTCACCTGGTTAACAACCTTAATTCTCTGCCACATAATCGTAGGTTCCAGGGATTAGGATGTGAACATCTTTGGGAGGCCATTATTCTGCCCACCTCACCCACCATGCGTGAGGCACTGGGGATGCAGTGTGAAAAAACAGACACTAGTCCCCAGTCTCATGGGGTTGACACTGTGCTGCAGGAGAGAGATGGTGAGTGTAATGCAGAATTGGGCAGTGGTAAATGCTGAGAGCAAACCATGCAGGGCAGTGTGATACAGCCACAGGGCAGGTTCAGGGTAGTTTAGATAGGGTGGTTGGGGAAGGCCTCTTAGCGGATGTATCCATCAGCAGGGACCTGGGAGAACTAAGGAAGTATCTGGGAAGGCCATTCCAGGCAGAGAAAAAGCAAGTGCAAAGGCCCTGAGGCAGGAGCAGGTCTGACATGTTCAAGGAGCAGGAGGGCATCAGGCTATCAAGAGACCCAGGATCCACCCAGACTCAGCCACTACCCCATTGTTAGGTTGCGGATAAATCCCATCTCTCCTGGCCTCATTTTCCCCATCTGTACTAAGTAAGGTTGGACCAGATCAACACCTCTCAAATAAGTTTGTGTCCCTGAAACTGATGGTGGTGTGGTTGCTTTGAAGGAGCTCTCCCAGGAAACTCTATATAAACATAGATACAAGCAGCACTGCAGGGTTTGAAGGATTGAGTAGAATCCTTATCCCTCCCTTTACCCTCCCCCTCCTCCCCCAGCCCCAGGCGTTATTGAGTAGATTGCAGTACAGCAGCCTGTTGACTTCCATTTGTCTGCTCACTTCTACCCCTTATGCTGGATACTTTCCACAAACCATCTCTCATTCCATCATCCACACTTTCAGATCTCAGCTCAAATATTACCTCCTCAAGAAGGCCTTTCCTAATCTCCTCTGTACAATAAGATATACCAGGCATATACTCTTACAATACTGTATCTCCTCTATCATAGTTGTAACTTTAAATTTACTTATGGTCAAATTTACCCAGCTTTTCATCTATAATTTACATTTTTTCGTCTCAAGATTACTTTCTCTACATTTTTTTCTATTCTTTTTATTTG